ACAGAGGTTAGGTGTGTTTAGAAGTCAGCGACAGCACACAAAAGCCCCAAAATCTAGGAGGGCAAACAGTGCCAACATTGTAAGACAGCATTGTGATACCACAAGGATGAAGCGTTGCTTGTCTGGTGAACGCACGGCTTCTAACTGCGGCGAGAGTGAAGTGGAACCAACTGATTCCACCTGGCTAGTGCCAAAGAATAGGAAGCTCAAGAAACATAGGAAAGAGAAGAGTACTGGGATTAGTGATAAGGCCTCAACGGCCGTAAACACTGATAAGATTGCTAAACCTTCGGACCCAAATTACAGTATGGTAATTTGAAACTTGGAGGAATCGAAGGAGGCAGATCCAACTGCTCGACATTCTGATGATCTCGAAATAGTTAGCTCCGTCATCTGTGAAATACTTCCGGAAAAAACAACTGTAGTTCACGTGAGGAAAGTCACCAGAATCGGTAAACAAATCGTCTATGCAACAGAAAGTTCCCCACGACTGCTGACGATGGTACTGGGGAACGAGATGGAGAAAAGTATTATTCTCAACAATGCATTCAAGATCAAGAATAAAAAGATGAGAATTAGGCCAGACTGGCCTCTGGAAGATAGAATTAGGAGAAGAGAAGCCGTGGCTGAATTAAAGGCTCGATTAGAAAAAGGTGAAAAAGAACTGAAACTGTTGGGTTTTCGGGTAGTGAGGTCTGGGAAACCTATGTTGCCCAGACCTCTGTTTATAGGTCGAGTGAAGACATAGGCCTCTCAATATGCTACACGAGCGCTTGAAGTTTTAGGAATAAGCTCCCCGAACTAGGAGTGTTGACTCAGGAACTACAGCCGGATGTGATTGCTATCACCGAAACATGGTTGTTAGTGGATATAGACTTAACTCCATTCATACATGTGTACATTTGCATTAGAGCAGACAGAGTAAGTAGTCAGAAAAGTGGAGGGTTGCTCTACCCATCCGAGATAACATACGAATTAGGTCGGCGTTGTCAGAAGATAATGACAGCTGCACCTGTGAAGCCGCAGGTTGTATCGTTAACTTGAACAAAGGAACTGCAACGATTGGAGATATTTATAGAAGTCCTACCAGCCAAGCTGACGATTTCGTTCTATATACCCTCACGGCGTGGATTAGAAAGAAAAAGTGTCTAATACTAGTTGTCAGCCACGTCTCGCAAACCGTAAATGCCCAACTCTTGCTACACTGAGACTCACGCTGTTCCTCGAAACACCTCAGAAACGCTTAGTACGAACGGACGCAAAATCGAGAACCCAGTTTCATCACTTTCATTACTTCATTCGGAAGAAACTAGCTTCATGAGCCCAACAGTATTTTCACCTTATACTCCGAAATGCAAGTCTCGTACATGACACTTACTCAAGAGTGCACGAGACCATACATAAATTTGAATGGTCCACTTATCTTAGTAATTAAAAGATGTAAAAATGACTCTGAATGGTGAGTTATTCACAAAGTGGACGAAAATATATAAAAGGGTTGTGTGTCCGACTTCTCTGTACTGCAGTAGCCTCCACCATATACATGGACAAGTCGTTAGTGTCTTCAAAATAAGTTACATCAACTTCTACGGTGGAATTAGTCCTGTTCGGCTCCTTAATATAAATATTATTATTCAAGAGGAAAATAGGGCTTCAACAACACATATCTACTTTGTCCTATCTTCTGCCGTCCTCTCCAGCTGGGTCTGCAACTGTCCATAATCTCTAACGTCCTCCTAACAAGAACTCATCCATGTCACCCTCGCACTGACGATCCACTTGTCGCTTCCCACTGGGATTCCACTCGAGTGATAGCCTGGTATGCGATGTCATTCGACGGCCTCCTCAATAAGTGCCAGATCCACCTCTATTTTCGCCTACATATAGAGATAGACTAACCAATAAGAAAGAAACTTCACACACAAAGGGTTAAAGTTCAAGTCAAAGAAACAGTCAGTTCCAATACAAGTAACCTAGAAGATGTGAAAACACACATAAACAACTAATCACGTCCAAGGTCACTCGTCAGGAGAGATGATTAATAAACTCGTGGAGAAATCTAAAAGCTCACTTCAAATTGAAGTATGCGCTGAAGATGTCACCCAGTAGGGTGATGAAAGCTTCGCAAATTAACCATCCAGCTCAGAGAACAAAACCACATCAAAATCATCCACCTGAGCTACAAATCTTCTCTATCATATCTGAACACAGCAGTATTTAGTAGCATATTGTTTATTTGCAGAATTATGTACGATGATAGCAAGATATAAAAATCTTAGGTTGAAATTTCATTTCTGAGAAGTTATTCGTATTCTTCTTCTGTTGTTGTCTTCATTTCATAGTTTCTGTATTGTTTCACAGTAGTCTCCATTTTTCCCCTTTACAAGTTAGTCTGTTGCTCTGCTATTTAAGATTGCTGCCACAGACCATGAGTATATTGCTTAGGAATTCTTGTAAGTAATACATGCCGCAATTACGGAGTTAATAAGATCACAAAGAACTAAAGGAGGATTAACCTAATACTATCGATTTTGAGAAGCTCTTATCTGCCCAATAATTTAAGACAAGATTGTGCAACCGAATAGCAAATAGTTTGGTCTTCAAAAGCCCATGATAGCTGGACACATTGATTTGTACTGTGTTTGAAGTAAATTCAGAACCTAACTAGCTATAGTTATCTCGATTTTCATAGCAATCCTCTCAAAGGAAAATATTGTATATGATTATTGTAGGCACAAAGTGTTCGGCATTTTCCATCACAGTATTCGCAAGTCGAATAGTTGAAATTAAATCTGACAGAGTCGTCTATTGTAGACAATCCTTGATATTCATACCGTTTCTTATCTTTGGTACGGTTAATGTAACGATATTACATGGTAGTTTAGTAGAAATGTCGCTTATTAATTTAATTATTTCCAGGTATGATGTCCAACTTTCTGAATCCATTGCACCTCCTTGAGCTTAAGTGTGACTGCATAGTATCACTGATTATTGCAAACATTTGTTACACACTGCCTAACTAGGACATAGAGGTTCGATTAGATTTGTAGTTGGGGGAGAACTTTTAATTGAAATAATAGTTTTTATAACTAAAGATTAAAATTGATGAGATCAAAGAAACGAAGGCTAAGGAGCCGAACATCGAATCAAGCATAGAATGGCAGTCAAGCTTCTCTCTACCTCAAATTCATTGACTTTGAAAAGGCCTTCGAGACGCAATTCGAAAGCTACTGCAACACTACGACATGTAGTGCCGAAATCTTTATCAACCTTATTCAGCAGCTGACTATATGACAATGCCACGCGTTAGCGAGGTGATCCACAACGGGATGCTCATCGAGGCGTTTGAAGTGAACACAGGAGTAAGACAAGCTAACTGTCTATTATCACCCACGGTGATTCTTAATTGTGGTGGACTGGATTATGCGTCAGATTGTGCTTGAGAGTGAGGAGACAGGAGTACGCTGGACCACCGATGAGAAGACTCTAGAAGATCTGGATTTCGCTCCTCGATGATTCACGTCTGATATCACGCAAACTCTAAGACTTGCAGGCGAAAAGCAACAAACTGGCTGAAGAGGCGAGCACGGAAGACAGGACTGCAGGTGAACACAGAGAAGATGTAGGTGATGAAGATAATCAGCCAACCACAGCAACAACAACAACCGTCACCATCAAAGGGAGAGATTTGACAGAGGTTACCTCATTGACTTATCAAGGAAGCGTGGTTTCAACTGCAGGCAGTCGGAACGGATGACTGCGTGAAGGCCAGTCAGACTCGGAAGGGCTAGATACGCCTTCATCAACCTGAAACCAGTTTGGAAATCTTCTGCACTCAGCATAAGGAACAAGATTCGCATTTTCAACATCAATGTGAAGGCGGTCTTTCTATACGGGTTAGAAACTTGCACTGTGTCACGGAAAGGATTTTCAACAGCCAACTGCAGACTTTTATTCCACAGCTGCGTTCCCTGGCTCCATAATAAAGATGAAATGGTCAGCCAGAAAGAATTATTAACAAGAAACTCTGACTGAGAACAAACCAACCGAGAGTCGATCGCTGAGCGAATATGTAGGCGAAAATAGAGGTGGATCTGGCACTTATTGAGGAGGCCGTCGAATGACATCGCACACCAGGCTATCACTCGAGTGGAATCCCAGTGGGAAGCGACAAGTGGATCGTCAGTGCGAGGGTGACATGGATGAGTTCTTGTTAGGAGGACGTTAGAGATTATGGACAGTTGCAGACCCAGCTGGAGAGGACGGCAGAAGATAGGACAAAGTAGATATGTGTTGTTGAAGCCCTATTTTCCTCTTGAATAATAATATTTATATTAAGGAGCCGAACAGGACTAATTCCACCGTAGAAGTTGATGTAACTTATTTTGAAGACACTAACGACTTGTCCATGTATATGGTGGAGGCTACTGCAGTACAGAGAAGTCGGACACACAACCTTTTTTATATTTTCGTCCACTTTGTGAATAACTCACCATTCAGAGTCATTTTTACATCTTTTAATTACTAAGATAAGTGGACCATTCAAATTTATGTATGGTCTCGTGCACTCTTGAGTAAGTGTCATGTACGAGACTTGCATTTCGGAGTATAAGGTGAAAATACTGTTGGGCTCATGAAGCTAGTTTCTTCCGAATGAAGTAATGAAAGTCGACCTGCTCCTAACTTTCCGGAGCTAGTGAATGAAGGCTTTCTGTCATGTGTTGATGGATGCATCTAACTGAATTTTTTTGACAGAATGTCTTGGTATCATATGCACCATTAGTAATTATTTTATGAAGTACTATTGGCTATATATATACACATATAAATATATACATATATCCATATAGATATATGCATAATTTTCACTATAAGTACCGGATAATTTGTTTTAGGTTTTACAAAAGCTTTACAGACGGGAAGAATCAGATTACCGTGCAGCGCGTAAGAAATATCCAAACCCCTCATACCTACCTCATGGACAATTGTATCGCTTCATGATGGCACTGGTAGGTGGACAACCTTTACCAAATCTATCTGATTTGTCTTCTGGCGCCATCCTGGACTTTCTAACTTGGTATGTTCCTCAGAGTTTATTATTGGCTCGTTTTAGTTCCACTTTTTATTAAAAGCAGTAGGCAGTTTTATTTCTTTCATAATCTCTATAAGTCATTTACGTTTATCTGTTTTGATACCTTTGCGTAGAGCTATCAGTTATTAAATTTTATTATTTACACTGTGTATTCCATAATGGCGTTTATAAACTAGTGGCTTCGTTATGACTTCCAAGGCTACCCATTTTCCTTTCCATGTGCCAAAAAGTTCTTATGAGCATAAACCTGTTGCCTAAATTGTGTTATAAAGATTTTGGATTGTTTGCAAGTCGATGAGTGAAAGAAATGGAAGACTGTCAACTAGGAAGATAAGGCGTTTCAATTCCCAGTGGTCTGTAATTCTTCCACTGTATTGAAAAACTATACGTTCCCTCTTGTCCGTTGATTTTCGCTATGAGGTAAAGTCTCAATACCTGTTCCATGTTCTGATGTATCTTTTTATACATACTGAGGATATTTTCTTCAATTGGTACTTCCCAATTTCACATTAAAAAACCCTTTTGAGATTAGATATCTAATCTCAAATGTAATGTTAGAAATATATATATGTATATATTGACCCGTTTCTCTGATTCTACGCTTTTTCACTTTTCTTTCCATAGTTTGACCTCTATCGTTTCCATAGCCTTCAACGCTGATGATGGAAAAGACGATAATAATTCTGCGAGATATCCTGTTCCTACCCGAATGAGGGAACAAATTACAAATGTTACAGAAATGGTCAAACAGAAAGTCGGTGTATATATGGCACTTGTCGGTGCTATACACGCCAGTTCATTTCTTAGTATACGGGATGAAGTAGCCCTTAAAGGAGATTTTGGTAAACATCCTCTTACTCCACTCCGTCTACTATGTCAAGTCAAGCATCCTGACACAATTTTAGGATATCCTGCAATGGTGGAATACTTGGTTGACAAGTACGCAACAATTTGGGATAGTAAGTAGTTTTGTTTAGCATTAAATTAAAGATACCGAGAAATATATGCTACAGTTAGTTGATTACAGTAAGGCATTTTATTTCTAAATTCATGTTAATACTAACTGGACTGAAAATGAATTCTATGTACGAATTCTTACCAAGCTTATAGTATATTCAGACCAGAGTTCTTTCAGAAACCCGTAGAGGAAGCGCGAACAAGTTGTCATTCCAATGAAATATGCTCTAAATTCACCTGAGAATTCAAGATTAGGAAACGTTTTTTGATAGTTGTGTTCAAGTTCGAACTCATGTTTGTTTTTCAAACTCAGCTGTTACACATAATTACATAAGTGCTATTCATTTTTATTGAATTGGAAACTTTAAAGAAAACATCCTGACATTTGATGAAAGTAGTTATAGCCAACGAAATACGATTAAATAGATCACGCATCTATGTGTTTAACTTCCGATAATTTTACTTTAATGATCTTTCATTTTTTATGAGTATAAACTATTTCGTAGAACTGCAGAAACAAGTGTAAGTATTTGGCTAGGAGTGGATCTACAAAATGTCAGGAGATTCTTTGACTAGTTCGCAAGGACTTGCAGGTGTAGAGAAAGTATTGAGCGGAAAAATACCTAGTTGATTGGATCCTGGTGGATGTATGCTATCCAAGTGGATGGATCCGTTAGGAGAAACAAAGATTGTGACACCCGTCCATGTTTTCCCATAATCTTTACTTGTACCTCAACAGACTGCAGTTTGGACGAAGTAAAGAATGACTTCTATCACAAGTTGTCTAATTTCTTGCTAAAAGTGAAGCTGTCAGACATAGTCGTAGAAATCGACCCCAATGCTTAAGTAGGCAAGTTGTGCCATTCAGAAAAGTATATTGGTGGTAGTATCTCTGGAGTCCCATGCCGGTAAACCACCAAAGGTGATCGTCTTCTACAGTTCTGTCCAGTTGATCATCTGTTCCTCATTACTACTAACTTCAGTCATAAGGAGAAACATTGCCTTACTTGGCGACCAACATAATGAAATCAACAACGGACCCAAATAGATTCTGTCTATTTTCGACATAAAACTTTGCACATGTGCGACAGTTCGAGTCACCACACTCCTCGTAGCACACAAAGCGTCGGTGGCACAGCGTTTAGGACTCTCGCCAACCAGGCACATGGTCTTGGGTTCGAGCTCCCGACGACGCACACCCGAAATCTATGGTCGGCCTGCAAAATTTGGGCTATCGATACCACATGATGGAAATTCTATACCTATACCAAAAATACAGTGTGGCATCAAGCTATAATCCAAATATCAATAAAATCAGAGATGCATAATGCAGACAGTAAACAGAGGTGTGAGACAAAGAAATAGTAGTAACGAAGAACAATATAGTTCCATTGGAAATCATAAGTCACAAGGAGTGGATGCATCTGCACTATGCATTGATCACGATATTGAGCCATGTCACCAACTGTTTCCAGTCTGCATTGGTTTTTACCGTCCCGAGGATCCCAACCCGGGAGTCTACACCTTCCTACGTGGCTTAAACTAACTGTGGTGGATTTGATTGACTGGTTCCATGTTTTGGTTTTACCACCGCTAGCTCTTTTCCAGTCTGACCCTTTATAAGCTAATATTGCTATGCATGCGTAACACATATCCTAACCATCTCAGTCGATGTAATTTCACAGCCTCGTCGATTGATTACCTCTGCTTACCTAGAACTCGACGCCTAACCTCTATTGCTCACCTTATAATGCCACTTCACACGGGAGATAGAACGCAGGCGCCTATGATCAAAGACGGCTAATCTTTCCATGTCTTCCACTTTCGATGGTCAGGTCTCACAGCCATAAAGGAGGACGGAGCGGACTGATGAGCAGTACATCCCCCTTTGTTCGATATCCAGCCAGATATCACATCTACGCCAAAGACAGCGTAAACTGGTATATGCGAAACTAACCCTCTGTATCCTTGCTGAGATTTCGTCACAGATGAACCCGTTGGAGCAGGCTGATTCGACGTCCCAAATAAGTGAAGTGGTCAACGTGCTTTACCAATTTACTCTGTTTTTAAGCTAGTAATCAATGTAGTCCATTGTTGTAGCATCATCTTGCATTTGGCGGGAGGGAATCGCATGCCAAACATTCGTAGATTGCAGCTCAAGGTGTTCAGAAGACTGCATTTTTCAGCGTCCGCTCCTAGTAGGACTATATCGTCTGCATATTTTTAGTCAACGATGTTATTCCCTGGTAGTAGGTCAATCACTGAGTCTCTGAAGTGAGTCAGGGTTAAGTCCATCAGTACGTCTGTGGTGAAGTTGAATATAAATGGGGATAATGGGCATCCTTGACGGACACCACTAGTCACTACTCGCCGTTGGCTTTTCGTAATCTTCGCCTATGCCCCCACTGACTGCAGTTCAGATGAAACGAAGGATGAGTTCTATCAAAAGCTGTCTAGTTTGCTGCTCAGATATAGTCGTTCTAGCTGGTGACTTTAATGCTCAAGTAGGGAAATTGTGTCATTCTGAGGAGGATGTCGGTGGCACCTATGGAGTTCCTTGCCAGTATTAGGTAAGAAAAGAAAGTTAATCAGTCAAGTAGTGAATATGAATTGATTGACCTGGGTATGATACGTGTTGAGCGTTCCGAGCCATCGCCTCCCTCAACAGTCAATGTTAGGATTAAATGGAAAAAGAGTTTGGGATGGTCAAACCGAAACCTGGTATTAGTGCATGAAAGCCTTGACAGTTAGTTTGAGCCAGTTAAGCAGGTGTAAACTTTCTTTTTGGTGTCTTCGAAATGTTGAGAACAGTGGTTGGAGATTGTTGGTGATATGGTTCGAAATCAGTGTCACTGGTCAAGAGACATTGACTCTGTGGGATCTCCCAGATCCATTAAGTCCTCACTTTTTTCTGTTACGATTCTTTCAACTTCACATTTTGCTTATTAATGTTGTTGTGAGTCTCTTTTTTCTCATTTTAATGCCTTTATGTGCTTATGGAGTGTGTGTACTTGAAGTGCTGCACTTATATGCAAAATTCTATTTCGAAATTCGGTCTGTCAGTCAGTGAGGTTACTTTTAGAATGTTGGGTACGGAAGGAAAGTCGGTCAGTGAGTTTTCTCTAGCTCTATCGATTGTGATGCCTAGAACATTTATTATGCGTATTGAATTTCAGTTAGTAGTAGAACGTTTTGTGAGGATATGAGACTTGATTGTGTGATACAGCAGAGTTTTTTTTAAGCAAAGCAATTCTCGCCTTTGCCGACTACATGCTTATTGTAAGAATAACTGCTTAATTTTTCTATCATTCCTTTCATACTAGCATACGCGATACATCCGTAATTTCGTTATTGTCAGATTAAATTTGGATAATGATCATTTCAAATAATAAATCCAACTAGTAGAAACTTGAAGTCAAATTTGAATATTTTACATTAGGTCTATCTAAGATTACTTATTCTGTAATAAACTTACTAATTAGCACTAATATGCGTATTTGAAATATTTTTGATCATTCTACAGTACCGCATATTCCAGGCGCATGTTTCTCCGATGAGACGACTTCCGAACCCGTGTCCCTTGGTTTATTACTCTCTGTACTGAAACGTGTTTTAGCGTTTTCACTCAACCCGTTTACTTTCACACAAGGGATGATGGCTCAGTTTCAAACCATTTTGAGTGATTTTCATTCGCTGTGTTCTAGTAGATCACAACTGTCGAATTTTTTTCGAACATGGGCTACAATCAATATAAAACAAGTACGTTACTTCTCAACATGCCCATTGCCTGTGGAAGTTATACCTCGTAAACGTTCAAGGGAAATCTCTGTTGAGGGTGATCAGGCAAAGAGGTGCTGTACTGAAAATCCTTCAATTACGAATGAGTTGGAAACAGAAGAGCGCTATACAACGGAAAGGTAAGTCATTTAGAAGAAAACAGGCTGTGTAGAAACTATGCATTAAAATTGGTCTTAGATGATTGATTTAATTATATCAAGAGTTACTTGACCTTCTTTTTTGCTCAATAACGCCGTACCCCTTTGTGCAGAAATATTTAAGAATGGTTATTCTTAGCTCTAGCATATTGTTTATTTATTTTGCTTCATAAAGTTTGTTATTTTATTTTTGAAAAAACCAATTTTGTAAGTGCCTTCCAGAGGTTGGTATTCTTCATTTTTCAAGATTTATTGCAATCTTATTATCATCAGTTGTCTGTCTGACAATCGTTCTCATCAGTCGCCTACGTGAGATACCCTCTTTTTACTCGAAACATTCGAATATGAACATCAAGAAATACTGCACACGAAAACAAAAATATTCAACTGTCTGTCTGTCTGGATTCAACATAGAACTTGGCACCGAAGTGCAGCAGTTCGAGTTGCCACGTCCCAAATAGCACACAGAGGTAGACAAGAAGATGAGTGAAGAGAATTAATAGAGTTTGACAAATATAAGAGTGAAACAGAACGAGTAATGGTAGAAAGGAATATGAAAGATTACAGAGACTGAATACATCTGCGCTGGCCATTGACAACGATTTTGAGCCATGTCACCTATTGTCTCCAGCCATTGATTCCTAGAGTCCCGAGGGCCCCAACCCGGGAGTCTGCATCTCCCTACCTGACTCAGTTTAGCTGTCAAGGATTTCATGGATTGATGAGGCCATGTTTTTGTTTGGCCACCACTGGCTCTTTTCCAACCTGAACCTATATCAGCTAGCAAAGCCCGTCGGGGGAGGCGGTGGTTAGGCATGCGCAGCACGTGACCTAGCCATCTTAGTCTATGTAACTTTATAGCCTCGTCGATTGATTTTCCCTCTTTGCCCAACACTCTACGCCTAACGTCAACATTACTTACCTTATTAAACCACCTAACGTGAGACAGAGGTCGTAGACATCTATGATCGAAAGCAGTCAACCTTTTCATGTCTTCAACGCGTATTGGCCATGTTTCAGAGCCATAGAGAAGGACGGAGCGAACTGATGAGCACTACACACGTCCCTTAGTTGATAGCCGGATGTCACGCATACGCCAGAGATGGTGTAAGTCAGCGAAAGCAGCTCGAGCTTTTCGGATCCGTGCTGAGATTTCGTCGCCAATCAGTCCGTTGGTGCTAATACAACTTCCCAAGTAGGTGAAGTGGTCAACATGTTCTATCACTTCACTCCCTGTCACTAAGTTAGGGGTTGACGTGGTCCAGTCCTGTAGCAGCATATTACATTTTGTAGGGGCGAATCGCATTCCAAACATACGAAGATTGCTGTTCAAGGTGTACAGAAAACTCTGCTCTGTTTTGTCAGCATCCTCCCCTAACAGGACTATGTCATCTGCATATTCTAAGTCCATAAGATTATTCCCTGGTAACAAGTCGATTCCTAAGTCACTACTTTCAGTTAAGGATACTTCCATTAGCATATCTATGATGAAGTTAAACAGAAATGGGGAAAGTGGACATCCCTGTCGGACACCACTGGTTGTTACCAATTCAGATGACAATTCCCCATAAGCCCTTACACGACTACGTGAGTTTGAATAGAGTGCCTTGATTAGTGCAATGTACTTTCTTGGAACTCCCTTCACAGTCAGACATTGCCATAGTACCTTTCGATCCACGGAGTCGAAGGCCGCCTTCAAGTCAAGGAATATGACAATTGTTGGACGCCGAAAAGTGTGTCTATGTTCTAGAATCTGTCGAAGAGTGAAGATATGATCTATGCACCCTCTACCTGGTCTAAAGCCTGCTTGATTTTCCCTTGTCTGTTCCTCCCGAGTTCTGCTTAGTCTATGCATGATTACTGAGCCTAGGATTTTAGAGACTATGTTCGTTAGGCTGATCCCCCTATGATTATCACACGAGGACTTGTTTCCCTTCTTGAATATCGGTATAATAAGTGACTACAATATTCATCAGCAGCCGTGTGCATCACTCATTAGTTTATACTGTTTTCTGAAAGAGAATGAAAAAGGAAGTTGCAATAGGTTCACGCCTAACTTTGATCCCGAGTCATATTTGATAATGTCTGTAGACAACGTGTCTACAGATCTCTCAAACTCTATCCAAGGAGATGTGATGCACCAGGAGATGCGGACCCAACTGAACTACTCTCTTCATCTCACTGTGCTATGGTATGGGCCAACTACTTCTCTTCTTTTTTTCCACATGGTTGTGGAACCGGCAAATAATGAACAATATAGGAGCCGCTGGTACGATCTTCGAGGAACACATCCAAGTAGTCGTAGCCCGGTATCGAGAAATGACATCTTTATCACTTCCAGATACATTGTGCCGGACCCCAAAATTACTTTGGTATTGTCGGCAAAGGACGGAGGCAGTGATAACCAGACACATCTTGAGCACGGAGAGGTAAGTTTTCTCAGGAGTAGGACAAGGTTGTGTCATGCAAAGCAGACCTTCGACGGAAACACCAATGTCGCGATATGGACAGAGGTGGCTTAGTTTTACTAATACAGCTTTGGTTTTCGCTGTATGACTGGGAATTTCACTCGTCACGCCTCCACCAACACTTACGCAACTGCCTAGATACTTGAATTTCTCAACTACCTCTAGTGGTTGCCGTCTAAGAGTAAGTTTGTATACAGAATATTAGCTACATTTGCAAGACGTTATGCAAATGGCGAGTGAATCCTTCAGTGTTTACAACATAAGGATCGCAAAGTCTGGTGGTGAGAACATGCGTATAAGATATAATCAGCAGCTGTATCTGGCAATAGACGGAAGCTGTCCAGCTAATCCAAACCACCGGCAGCAGCATTGAGGACGATATGTGAGACAGATGGTTCGCTGATTGCCAAACTGAAAAGACCCATGTAGCGATGTGCAGAGCACTTTGAGAAGCAGTTTAGCTGATCAACAGCCCCGCCATCTAACATCATCAACAGAGCTCTGTGTTCTGTCTGTCTGTTTTTAACATAGAACTCTGCACCGATGTACAGCAGTTCAAGTTGCCACACTCCATATAGCACACATAGCAAGAGAAGAAATGCACAGTACAAACAGTAAACAGAGGTGTGAGACAAAGGAATAGAAGTAACGAAGAACAATATAGTTCCATTGGAAATCATAAGTCACAAGGAGTGGATGCATCTGCACTATGCATTGATCACGATATTGAGCCATGTCACCAACTGTTTCCAGTCTGCATTGATTTTCACCGTCCCGAGGATCCCAACCCGGGAGTCTACACCTTCCTACGTGGCTTAAACTAACTGTGGTGGATTTGATTGACTGGTTCCATGTTTTGGTTTTACCACCGCTAGCTCTTTTCCAGTCTGACCCTTTATAAGCTAATATTGCTATGCATGCGTAACACATATCCTAACCATCTCAGTCGATGTAATTTCACAGCCTCGTCGATTGATTACCTCTGCTTACCTAGAACTCGACGCCTAACCTCTATTGCTCACCTTATAATGCCACTTCACACGGGAGATAGAACGCAGGCGCCTATGATCAAAGACGGCTAATCTTTCCATGTCTTCCACTCTCGATGGTCAGGTCTCACAGCCATAAAGGAGGACGGAGCGGACTGATGAGCAGTACATCCCCCTTTGTTCGATATCCAGCCAGATATCACATCTACGCCAAAGACAGCGTAAACTGGTATATGCGAAACTAACCCTCTGTATCCTTGCTGAGATTTCGTCACAGATGAACCCGTTGGAGCAGGCTGATTCGACGTCCCAAATAAGTGAAGTGGTCAACGTGCTTTACCAATTTACTCTGTTTTTAAGCTAGTAATCAATGTAGTCCATTGTTGTAGCATCATCTTGCATTTGGCGGGAGGGAATCGCATGCGAAATATTCTCAGATTGCAGCTTAAGGTCAACGAGATTATTCGCTGGTAGTAAGTCAATCCCCGAGTCTCTGAAGTGAGTCAGGGTTAAGTCCATCAGTACATCTGTGGTGAAGTTGAATAGAAATGGGGATAATGGGCATTCCCGACGGACGGCATTAGTTGTCACCATTTCAGATGACAGCTCTCCGTAAGCCTTCACCTGACTGCTTGAGTTCGAATAGAGTGAGTGCCTTGATCAGTGGAATATATATTATTTAGGCACTTCCTAAAATGGTCACCTAGTTTGATGGCGACATTGTAAAAATTACTGATGGATTTAAGTCAGTATCGGCTGTTAGAGATAAGGTTGCAGAAAAATAAGTTTATCTCTGCTGTAATATTTTAATGTTATGATAAGGTGTGTTTAATTCATTGATTGCTTGTAGGTGTTCCTCAGGGTGCTGTTCTCTCGCCGTTTCTCTTTTCTTTCTTCTTACATGACTTACCTCTCTCAGACGAAATCAACTTCGTCAAATATGCAGATGACCTGGCTGTTTCGCTTCCCGTTAAGTCTCAGTCAGATTGCTTCAAATTAAATAGCTTCCTGTCTGACGTCAGTCAGTGGTCTAACTTAAATGGCCTCATGCTGGATCCCTCAAAATGCCAGACTATCGACTTCTCCTTTAGGCATAAACGAGATCTACAAACACTAGCCTGTAGCATTGAGGGGACTATAATTGAAACTAAGTTTAATGCAAAATACCTCGGATTAGTTCTATCTTCCAACCTTACTTGGTCATCTCATATCCAAATGATTTCCAAGAAAGTGTTTCGTCTAATCTACTTCATTAAAAAGTCAGACTAACTGGAGTCACTCAACTTCTGCTTTCACAATTTGTCAACTCTTATATCCTACCTATTCTACTTTACTGCTCCCCATTAGTCTCTCATGGGTTACTGAAAAAGGACTATACCATCCTGAGAAGGATGTTGAAGGTAGTTAGTAGGACTAGCGGTGTAAAACTCAGTCAGCTCGTCACTACATTAGTGGACAAGCATCTGAATGCATGCGAAAAATGTTCTAAAACCATACTCTCCGACCCCGAACACCCCCTCTATTCCCAACTCTCTCCTTGCATCTCATCAGGTAGAACCAGAAATCAGTACAAAATAATATATGCTCGTACAAGCAAGTATAGGAACTCAACGATACCACATTTTGCCCGTGTTCTAAGTGACAGAGACAATGTTAAGCGTGAAACCTATGACTTGCTTTGTTGTTAATAACATAATTTTGGCCCTTGTTATTTCCCCTTATTCTCTCTTATTCATACTCTATAGTGAACAACCTTCTTAAACATACTTAGCTGCTTAAAATTATTATCATTGGATTACTTTTTTACACTTTACTCTATTCCTTCTTTTGTATATCTACTGGGTCCGACTATATTATCACTATGAGTATTACAAAACTGTCCTGTCATTAACCATCATGTAATATTAATTTTTGTGGCTGTTCTTTGTTCGGCACTATTTAACTGACAATCTTGTTTATGAAACGCCACTATCACCATCTTAAAATTTTGTATTATGCATGATTACTCACACTACCACGACAAACACCACATTAGTGCTGACAATAAAAAAAACAACCTGAAATGTTTATCTTATGATTGCTTAGTGTTGTTCAATCAAATTAACTGATCATCTTGACTATAAACATTCTTAAGAACATCTCATAATTTCTTGTATGATTATAGCTGTTAGTGTTCACCACCATACACATATCATAGCTTCCACTAACCAATACTGAAATATTTTTTTCATTATTTGTGTTTATCTTCCTTTCTACTTGGTATTCTTATTTGCATTTTTTGTTATTTCTGTGTTGCTTTCTGGTTTTTGATTTTTATATTTTTATTTATGTTTTTTGTAATACTCCTTTTAAATGTACGATGAAATTAGATGCAGTTTTGTAGATATGTGCTGAAAATTCCACACTGTAGCACAAGTACTATTTCTGGAATAAAAGCGAAATTGTTATGTTACGTTATGTACTTTTTGGAATTGTTCGATATCTGTCGTACAATAATCATAACATTTAGTTTGATGTTTGAGCTTTGCTGACTGACAAGTCAATCTATACAGTAGTGCGAAATAGCGAAGGAGTTCCTAATGATATAATGATGTTTTGTTGTAATTTGTTTTACTAGGACTACGAGTGATCAGCAATCTACAGCTCCTGTTACTAATGTAAAAATGAAAGATCCCAAAAATGTTGCACTAACGGTATGTTTTTTCGCTGCACCTACGAAGTTTTTTAACATATTTTCCAACCCAGAAAACATTTAATGCCTTTCTTATGCTTTGTCCTATGACTATCTGTCACACCACCAGAGATATTTGTAATTCTTTATGTACGAAGCGTGATCCGTTGGATTGAGCATACAACGTTCTGACGCAGCTCACATTTTGATTACTTCAACCTGAACAACCGGTCATTGTCATAACCGGCACGCGCACGTTTTCGAGTAAAAAAGCCCGTGCTGGCAAGTTACACAAAAATATAATTCACTAAGTATAAGCTTCCTATAGTGTAGATATGATTACGAGTCCCGTTGGCCTATTCAGCGTATATCATCAAGTGTTCTAGGTAGACCAATTCAGTCTGCCTGGTATAGCACTGATGGTTAGGGTTACTAACGCTCCTAGTCCTCTCTTACTCAAAAAGCCAAATTACTGTTTTGGTGCGAACAGTCTCATTCAGGAATATAAATATTTGTAGCCTGCCAGACGCATGCAAAATATTACATGTGAAAATATGTTACACGCCCAGGGACTCAACGGGAATGACGCCTTTTGTAGGCAAGTAACGTCTTAATGCCAATAGGTCTGATGTTTTGTTCGCCCACAAACTAACACATCCCCCATGGTAGTTCACGTTTAGCTTTAGAATTATTGTTTACTTATAAGAAGGTAAGAGGATTAACTATGAGCTTCTCGATGTACGCACAGTGCTAAATATTTCAAGAGCTGTATTCAACAAAATGCATGGATGAAGGTTAAACTATTTTTTAAAAAGTAAGCGGCACTGCTTCAGCTTATTTATGCAAATAGTATTGCTGCTTTATCAAGTGTTTCAGTTTGTAAATGTAAATTGGTATCAGGCGGGGTGGCATGGTGGTGGTCGAATAGAAAATGCAACTGAAAAGGTGGCACATGTATTTCCCTGTCAAACGGAACAAGTAAATCTGAGTAATCAACTTCATGATACTGAAGGGTTATACAATAGACCGATCAGTAGCAAGATGTTACCATGCTGGGAAATTGTTGTTTTTTTATCACAGCACTATTATGGTGCATACAAATTTTTAATCACGGAAATAGCTTCCGTAGTGTAGTTTCTTGTATATAAATACTTCACATGTGAACAGTCATTTTCCTCTTATTATTGTTATTATTAGTTATTATGCTGGTTTGAACATTTTACTTTTTATTGCTTTCATGTTAGTCGAATCGGTACGTGAAATGGTGTCCTGGAACGCACTTCGTTCGTATAAAGGAGAAAGGAGAGGTTGAAAATGTCAATGCAATTGTAAATGCTGTAAGCAGTGATATTTTATGTGAGAGCTGTTGAATTCATATTACTTTGCATGACTGTAGATTGGGTCTCGTAACTAACTGTTTGACTGAAGTTTAAAGTTAAGACTGCACTGAGGCCAGGCAGGCTTTAGACCAGGAAGAGGGTGTATTGATCATATCTTCACCCTCCGACAGATTCTAGAACATAGGCATTCCTACCGGCGTCCAACAGTCATTATATTTCTTGACCTAAAGGCAGCATTCGACTCTGTCGATCGGGAAGTTCTCTGGAGATGCTTGGCTGTAAAGGGAATTCCAAGAAAATATATTGCACTGATTAAGGCACTCTACTCGTACTCATACAACCAGGTGAGGGCTTACGGCGAGCTGTCATCTGAACTGATGACGACCAGTGGTGTCCGTCAAGGATGCCCATTATCTCCTTTTCTATTCAACTTCATCATAGATGTGTTAATGGACTTAACCCTAGGTGACTTCAGCGACTCAGGGATTGACTTGCTACCGGGGAATAATCTCGTTGACTTGGAATATGCAGACGATATAGTCCTTCTAGGCGAAGACGCTGACGAAATGCAGAGTCTTCTAAACACCTTGAGCCGCAATCTACGAATGTTTGGCATGCGATTCGCTCCCGCCAAATGCAAGACGATGTTACAGGACTGGACTACATCGACGCCTAGTCTAAAAATAGGAAGTGAAGTGGTAGAGCACGTTGACCGCTTCACTTATTTGGGAAGTACCATCAGCCCCAACGGGCTGATTTCTGACGAAATCTCAGCACGAATACAAGGGGCTCGTTTCGCATTTGTTAGTTTACGCCGACTCTGGCGTAGACGAGATGCAATATTATAAATGCAAACTGTGCAGATCCCGTCGCTCTCACAATAGGCTGGCGAATGTATATTTAAAGGTAGAACATATCTGTCAGGCGTCAATTATCTTTTTCAAGATAAAGATTAACTCATAAAAATCAGAAATATTCGAGCTTAATTGTTGAAATATCATGACAGTCTTTATAGTAGACATCTGACATTGCAAAGTAACGTGTCTAAACATATTATAAAAGATATTAACAGAAATACTACATAGCTTTAACATTATGAATTTTAGAAAATTATATGAGAATGGGTAACTGTTGACTGAAGATAATCAATTCAACTCAAAAATAGTGCAGTGTATTATGCTAATAATATAAGTATATTCGTAAAATATTAAAAGATATGGTTGCTAATGTAATGGTTTTCGGAAATAATTATACTGACGAACTTATTGAAGATTACAGTGAAGAGGAAACCAGTGAGTTAGTTAAATGGCTACTGTGCAGTTAGTAGTTAAAACGTCTTTTTTAAAAATAAAGGGTAGAAGAGTTTTGAGCACCGGAGCAAATTAAGTCTATTCTACTGAGTAGTGTAGTGATAGTGGAGATGTTCGACTATCGACCAGAGGGCGGGTGTACTGCTCATCAGTCCGCTCCGTCCTCCTGTGTGGTTGTGAGACCTGGCCACTGAGAGTGGAAGACATGAAAAGACTAGCTGTCTTTGATCATAGGTGCCTGCGTTCTATTTCCCGTGTAAAGTGGCACAATAAGGTGAGCAACATGGAGGTTAGGCGTCGAGTTCTAGGTAAACAGGGGAAATCAATCGACGAAGTCGTGAAGCTACAAAGACTGAGATGGTTAGGACATGTGTTACGTATGCCAAGCCATCGCCTCCCTCGACGAGCAATGTTAGCGGATATAGGGTCAGGCTGGAAAAAAGCTAGCGGCGGTCAAACAAAAACTTGGCATCAGTCAATGAAATCCACAACAGTTGGTCTAAGCCACGTAGAAAGGTGTAGACTTCCAGGCTGGGGTCCTCGGGACGGTAAAAATCTATGGTTGGAAACAATTGGTGACATGGCTCAAAATCGTTCTCAGTGGCGCAGATGCATCCACTCCCTGTGACTTATGATCTTCAATGAAACTGTTTTGTATTTCTTTATTACTCCTTTGTCTCACACCTCTGCTCACTGTTTCTATTATGCTTTTCTTGTACTTTCTTCTCTTGCTTCGCGTGCTACACGGAATGTGGCGACTTGAACTTCCGCACATTTGTGCAAAGTTCTATGTCGAAAACAGACAGACAGACTGAGGAATGAGGTTTTTCAATATAATTACACTATTCATTTGTAGTGACTTATGTCAATGAGCCAAATCTCCACAGTTTCCCTTGTAACCAATACACCTGGAAACACAAGGGTTTTCCTTGACAACCTAAATTTTAATCATCTACTACGATTATGGTGCTTTTATATGTGTAGTGCAAAGCCCCTCTTCAGTTTATTGAAGATATACCAATGCCTTGTTAACGTTTAAAAGAGTGTTCTGTCATTGTCATTGCGTGCACTAAAAGACATATACATACTAGTGACGATAGTCTTGACAAGCGGTATTTATTCAAACAGAACTGGTCTCATTTCTTAGACCCCCAATCTCATTATGATAAGTATGAATCTTCCTTTCTGAATCAATCGTTGATTTTGTTCACGGCTTATTCTTTTTCTTTCAGCATTTTAAAATGAAAACTAAGGAGACAGATTTTTCAATGGAATTACACAAGAACGCGACCAAGTAATAATAGTGTGAAAACAATGTACAGAAGTTTGAGTTTCAAATACAGAATTTTTGTGTTAACTGTACTTGTGTTGTTGTACGTGCGTGCGTTCTTATCATCTGTGCAAATAATGTGTGTGGATTTCTTTCAGTGGTGGTGTAAAGAATTTCTCAGCGGTTATATAGATAAGTTGGACTATGAGAAAAAGTGACTGATGTGACCAATTCTCAGTTGCAAATAAACATTTTATTTGAAAACTCTGTTATCATCTGAGTCAGTGGAAAAAGTATTGAAGAGTATTGATTACAGATATCTTTCTGTATAGCATGCATACATACATGTCAATCACTTCTAATTGACGATGCTGGGACCAAAGACTGACTTGGTGATGGTGAACGAAAATTCACTAGTTGTTGTCTCCCAACTAAATATCTGAAATTAATAAGAAACAAAATTTTAATGATTTATTCTCTTAAGTTAAAATCTTTGATAAACAATATAGGTAAAAAACCTCCTAACATTGAAAATTCAAACAGACTTACACTAAAGTGAAAGGGCGAATGCACCAACGTCTGGGGCTTAGAATTGGGCTGTTGGAAGTGCTGGTCTACCTAGGCGAGCTAAGAAACCCTGATTCCAAACGTATGCTGCACATGGGCATCAGAATCCGGAAACCATGGGAACTAACTCTTGACTGTTCCACTGTCTTGTGAATCAGACTTCAAGTAAAAGGCTGTGGAAGTGGCCCATTAAGACAACCAGCATCTTGGAAGTATTCTAGACCTCGCAGAAACGTTATGTGGCGCATTTCTTGTTGCTCACAGTGTTCTAGCAGTAAATATAAAGGCTATTGTACCATTCAGTAGAGAAATCCAACTCGTTAATCATATTTAAAAATGTGAAGATTAAACAATCATTGAAAAATCATGAAGGACTTACTTTTCATCTTTAATATGTATGTAGAGATGTCGTATCTGGTCGACGCACAAAGCACATAAGAAAATAAGCACAGCCAAGACGAAAAGAGATGGGTACACATAGCGCGTAAGGCGACTTTTCTATCTAATAACAATAACAATTTCGCTTTATTCCAGAAACAGTACTTGTGGTACAGTGTGGAATTTTCAGCACATATCTACAATATTGCATCTAATTTCATCGTACATTTAAAAGGAGTATCATAAAAAAATAAATAAAATATATAAAAAAAACAACAATAAAAGAAACACAGAAATAACAAAAAAATGCAAATAAGAATACCAAGTAAAAAGGAAGATAAACACAAATAATGAAAAAAATATTTCAGTATTGGTTAGTGGAAGCTATGATATGTGTATGCGTGGTGAACGGTAACAGCTATAATCATACAGGAAATTATGAGATGTTCTTAAGAATGTTTATAGTCAAGATGATCAGTTAATTTGATTGAACAACACTAAGCAATCATAAGATAAACATTTCAGGTTGTTTTTTTTATTGTCAGCACTAATGCGGTTGTTTGTAGTGGTAGTGTGAGGAATCATGCATAATACAAAATTTTTTTTAAGATGGTGATAGTGGCGTTTCACAAACAAGATTGTCAGTTAAATAGTGCCGAACAAAGAACAGCCACAAAAATTAATATTACATGATGGTTAATGACAGGACAGTTTTGTAATACTCATAGTGATAATATAGTCGGACCCAGTGAATACACAAAAGAAGGAATAGAATAAAGAATAAAAAAGTAATCCAATGATAATAATTTTAAGCAGCTAAGTATGTTTAAGTAGGTTGTTCACTATAGAGTATGAATAAGAGAGAATAAGGGGAAATAACAGGGGCCAAAATTATGTTATTAACAACAAAGCAAGTCATAGGTTTCACGCTTAACATTGTCTCTGTCACTTAGAACACGGGCCAAATATGGTATGGTTGAGTTCCCATACTTGGTTGTACGAGCATATATTATTTTGTACTGATTTCTGGTTCTACCTGATGAGATGCAAGGAGAGAGTTGGGAATAGATGGGGGGTCAGAGAGTATGGTTTTAGACCATTTCTCGCTATGAAAAGAAATAGACGCAGTTTATTATTCATTGTGCAGTGTACTTAATTTTGACATAGCTTCTTTTAAATTATGAAAAGTGAATGATTGGCTTTGCCTCTGAAGTGCCATTGCTAGATCGCACTGCATTACTTACCTAAGGCGAAGGGTACTTTTTACTATATATATGTAAATGTTTATGTATATGAATGTCCAGTCTTGTTATATATTCTCATACTCCTGTGGCAGTTGCAGTTGGGAATCGTGTATAACGATACATTTAAGGTGTGTTCACTGAGTTTATTTCAGCGAAAAATGAGTTTAAATTCTTTGTGACATGTGTTTTCCCACATAACTATGGTTACTGGAGGCATTATCCAGGTCAATTTAACATTTATCCGACCTTGTGCAGTGAAATTTGTTTTTAAGTATTAAGTTTTAGCAAGTAGGCATAAATTCCCTATTGCATTCATGGGTTAAAGGATAAGAAAGCATTTTCATTTGAACTGGAAATGTTTCTTTAAATCATTCACATTTCCTGAGGTCTACTCTGTGAGTATTAAAAACCAAGAGTGGTTATTTCTGTGCACATTCAGAGAGATCAATGTGATGAACTGCCAAAACGCCGAATAACACTAAATTTATTTAAGAGTATTTACAAAGCTGTTGCATTTAAAATGTGTCAGGTATTTGATTGCTGCAGTTTAATTAAAACAATATTTCACTTGGTTCTAAACTGAAATGTTTTAGAGAATAATTTGTACACATACTACAAGGGAGATTTCATCAACAACTTATATTAGTTAGACAACAATTAAAGACGTCGGGGGAAACTAGACAGATGAAGTAAGAGTCTAGAGCTTATTGGCTACCTGTGGATACTGACTTATGGGCACGTGCTACTGAATTTCATTTCACAATGAAAAACAGTCCAGCCCAGTGTCGGCCTGTTTTCACTGGCTTGGCACCTAACGTTAATTTTTCACGTAATGTGTCAAAACAAAAAATATCATGTTACTGATGAAACTCTTTTTAAATGTACAAGTCTTACCAAATAGTGGACTAATATAATGCGCTATCAAATAAGGTATACTTAAAGATAATCCAATAGCTGCGAGCGATGGTGAAATTGCCAAAAGTAGACGAGTAGGTAGCACGAACATCTTGTCGATGATGTAAGATTTCATCGTGTAAGATCTCTAAAGGATCGCGCAACCACCAAGGACGTCCAATCAGGATAAGTAAGATGGACACTTTTAAGAGCATCATACCGAATATCCAATGCTACAAAACAAAGAAAAGACCAACATCAACGTGGTATTGTAGCATCTCGAAGATCGAACAGTTCACATGGACGCATTTAACTACTGAAGGAGATGACAGATTTGCATTCAGACAATGAGAAAACGAGCAATATAATTCCTACTTGATGGATTTTTATGTCTAAAAAGGTTATATGACTGGACCAGAAAACGCACGTAATTCAGTAACCGACTGATTTATATCTTAGTATGAAGTCTTAAACAAATTGTAATGCTCAGAGTTTTGCCGCTCATAAGCAGTTCTAATTTTAATTTGCTAAGAAGAAGACTGACGCCTTGAATTAATGAAATTTGAAAAAACTGAACTGCAAATATCACAAGCATGTGGTTGGTGTACAGATGAATGAATCTGTTAATTTCGGAGGTGTTTCCTTCTAAAGGTAAAAGTGCTCTCTTAACATCCAATTTTTAGTATATTTGAGAGGAAAATGTTTGTGAAGTGAAAATATGTTTCAACATTTCAAGCCCCATGTTTATCAGTCTAGGGGTATATGAAGATTATCTTTGGAAAAAGAAGATGTTGAAATTCGCAAAGTTGTTGTGTCTATGCACAAAATGTACAGTTAAGCTTATCGGGGATTAAGAATTTCATAGAACTTGATCACTTAGACCTAGAAACATACATCATTTATCATGTATTCTCGCTAAATGTTTTGATCTGAAATATATATGTATATTAGCACAAGTAACACTAAAACGTAGGAATCTACATTACAGCATTATTTGATTCCTTTGCGTTCCGAGTGGAACATAGGGTTTCAGGCTTGAGGTTTGTTGATCCAGCAGCAGTAGCGCTTGTTTGTTAACGCAGTGGAGCTGATAGCCTCAGGCCTATATTCCTTCATTGCTGGCTTAGCGAGGTTTGGGAGTACATCGGTTGGGGATCCAACCCAGGACCACGTGCATGGTTTTCGCGTATCCTATCACTGAACGAACTATTGGCGCACACACAAAGCATGGTTAAGAACTACATGAAAAGCATACCTCCCAGAATTCAATTACAATAGATGTTCTGGCTCCAACGCGGAACGGCACATTGAAAATGAAGTTACCCAATAGTCCTAAAGCTATTGGAAGGATGCCAGCTGGTACAGATGCTACAAGTGAGAGCCGTAACCAATTCAATGCAGCGCGAAAACAATTTTGAGCACATATTCCGACATTTGTATCGGTGAAAAATCTAAATCCACAACACCGAGTGAGATCAGCCATAGGAGCCATTGGTAGTACAGGCCTTCGCATGGTAATTTCACAAGTTGTACGCGAACGAGTCTAAATCCTAAATACTTGCGAAGGCCTTCACCTAGAAATAAGATTACTACACTGTCCAAGTGAAGTAATGATACGCCATAACGCGGTGAAAGCGATAGGTTTGCTGCAAACATTGAAATAAAACAAGCAATAAAGGTTAACTGAAGCAGGATTTAATGAATTCATCAAATTTCGGTAGAACTCATCAGCTGAGTACTCTACATACACGGATATATATACTTTTGAGATTGCATTGGGAGATATAAGACTGATAAGTAAACAAACTACGTTGAATTAGTCATGCAGAAAGACACGTGCGAATAATTTACAGGTCATGTTCAAATAGATAAGGGGAGAGAGAGTATGAGAGATCAAAATTAAGATAAATTGCATTACGCTTCAATTACATCACTTAGATAAACAATTAGTCATTAGGGAATATAACGAGAATTGCAAACAGACTAATATCAATAATAATGTTTATAGTAATAATAATAGTGTTGAAGTGAGTTAAGATAATCTTACTGATGAAACATAGTTTTAAATGAATCGAGAATAATAATAATGATAATAACAATAATAATAAGAAGAAGAAGTAGAATTATAGTAGTAACAGTAGAGAATAATAAGTAAAACGTATTACCATGGTAGATTCAGAGTCACTACCATCTCCTTTCGTATACAGAGAGCTGGTTTATAAATTCAAATTGCACAGGCCTCTGCAATCGCAAGCATCTTCTTGTTTCTTTGTTTGCTGACAATGGTGAATGACCTGACCGCGTCAAGATCATGTCCGTAATCCACAAGATGTTTTGTTATTGAGGATTTTGGCACTTTGCACTCAGCTGTTTTCAACCATTTTGGCAAATGCTCCATCATGCGAGTAGACATTCGCCTTTCCGTACGACCTATGTATTTGCTGCCACAAACACACTCAAATTGATATATGCAGTTTGAAGTGTCGAGGATTGGCGACTGGTCTTTCCCAGACTGTTGAAGCACTCGCTTGGTGGTGTTAAGGATAACAAGTTTTGCAGCATAACAAGTTCTCTTGATGGCTTCGTCGAGTCTTCATTTCACTACTTCCTGTACGTCATCTCCTTTGAACGGCAAATTGATATAAACAGGTTTCTTTGGAACTGTTTGAATTGTTTTGCAGGGGGTAGTTTCGTTAGAGTATTTATTAATGAACTTCTCAGGATATCCATTCTTACATAAAATATCCTTCAGAGATTTTATTTCATGTTCAATAGTACTGTAAGGACAAATTTTCCGTGCTCTATTGAACAGTGTTCTGACTAAGTTCCTTTTGTACTGGATTGGAACAAAGCTTTTAAAATGCATGTACTGTCCTGTCCATGAAGACTTTCTAAATATAGATCTTTCGATTGTGCCATCATTCATTTTGGCTAGAAAAACGTCTAGGAATTTAATAGTATTGTTTTCCCCGTGTACGACTGTGAAATTGAGATTTGGATGGCATGAATTGAATTTTATTAGCATGTCTTCCGCTTTTCATCTGCTTTCACAGACAATAAAAATGTCATCAACATATCTTAGGTATACATTTGTTTCTTGTATGTGCTGCTGCAAAGCACCGGTTTCTAGGCGCGACAAGAATAAGTCGGCGAAGTGTGGTCCCAAGGGGCTTCCCATTGCGACACCATCAACTTGATGGAACAGACGCCCGTTGAATCGGACTTGGACATTTTTAGTACATAAAAGTAGTAATTTCCTCAATTCCGATGTTGGGATGGGTATGTCTTCAGCTTCTTTACATATGAAGTCGATAGTCTCAACGACTGGCACATTTGTGAAAAGGGAGGTAACATCGAAAGAGATTAAATGCTTATCGGATACATTGAAATCTTTAATTTGATTGACAAATTGAAATGAATCAGAGACTATATGTGTTCCGAAACGTTTCAGCAAAGGTGGCAACAGTTCACATAGCCACTGTGCTAATCTGTGGTATGGTGAGTTTATCATAGATAGTACGGTTCTTAACGGCGCTCCTGGTTTGTGTACTTTTACGCGTCCGTATAATTTTGGGATTTGTGACCCAATCGGTTTGATGTTTCTATATGTGTTTTCGTCAATGTATTTATTTTTGAAGAGTTGTCGTAGATGCTGCACAATTTTCCTTTCGGTTGATAACGTTTGGTCTTTTGCATGGTTATCCAATTTGAATTTAGATTCATCAGCGAGAATTGGATGCATTTTTTCGAGGTAATCTATCTTGTTCATTAGCACTACACTTTGTCCTTTATCAGGTTGTAAGATAACAAGATTTTTGTCTTTTCGGAGCTTCTTAAAAGATCTCCAGTGTTCTTCAGTGATATGCGACTTTTGATTGGTCGGCATGATTCGAAATTGATGAGCAATATCCACCATCTTTGCTTTCAACCAGCTTTCACTGTCACTGGACGTGGCATGTAGCCCCATAACTTGATCATAAAGATTTTCGAGTTGGCATTCGATATCAATTTGCTTTATTTTTTTTATCGGAACACAGAATTTGAATCCCAATGATAGAATTTCTGCTTGTTCTTTTGATAGGGAAACATCAGATAAATTATGAACATAATGAGATATATCCACTGAGAAAATTTCATTTGGTGGTTCCGGATGAAGTAACTTCTTCAGTTTCTTTTCTTCTGATTCTTTTGTCTTTTTAGATGTGGCATGCAGATATTTAGTGAATTTAATATAACATACGAAGTTTAAGTCATTTTGTACACTGATCAGTTTGCTTGACAATAGGCATAAATTACTGATTTCATCTGTTTCAGAACACAAATGTGATTCAACAAGACGGTAGAAATTTGCCCGTGTAGGTCTCAAATGATCTTTACGCAAGGATTTGTAGAATGTTCAAGGATAAATATTATTCTGGATATATTCCTTCAAAAAGTCTCGTCGTGCAGAGTGTTTAGCAATCCTGCACTTCAATTTTACTAGATAATTTAGTGCATTGATAGTAGTTTTGGGGAGATGCTTCTTCAAGAATTGAAAAAATTTATTTCCCGATACGAATTTAAAACAAGCAATAAAGGTTAACTGAAGCAGGATTTAATGAATTCATCAAATTTCGGTAGAACTCATCAGCTGAGTACTCTACATACACGGATATATATACTTTTGAGATTGCATTGGGAGATATAAGACTGATAAGTAAACAAACTACGTTGAATTAGTCATGCAGAAAGACACGTGCGAATAATTTACAGGTCATGTTCAAATAGATAAGGGGAGAGAGAGTATGAGAGATCAAAATTAAGATAAATTGCATTACGCTTCAATTACATCACTTAGATAAACAATTAGTCATTAGGGAATATAACGAGAACTGCAAACAGACTAATATCAATAATAATGTTTATAGTAATAATAATAGTGTTGAAGTGAGTTAAGATAATCTTACTGATGAAACATAGTTTTAAATGAATCGAGAATAATAATAATGATAATAACAATAATAATAATAAGAAGAAGAAGTAGAATTATAGTAGTAACAGTAGAGAATAATAAGTAAAACGTATTACCATGGTAGATTCAGAGTCACTACCATCTCCTTTCGTATACAGAGAGCTGGTTTATAAATTCAAATTGCACAGGCCTCTGCAATCGCAAGCATCTTCTTGTTTCTTTGTTTGCTGACAATGGTGAATGACCTGACCGCGTCAAGATCATGTCCGTAATCCACAAGATGTTTTGTTATTGAGGATTTTGGCACTTTGCACTCAGCTGTTTTCAACCATTTTGGCAAATGCTCCATCATGCGAGTAGACATTCGCCTTTCCGTACGACCTATGTATTTGCTGCCACAAACACACTCAAATTGATATATGCAGTTTGAAGTGTCGAGGATTGGCGACTGGTCTTTCCCAGACTGTTGAAGCACTCGCTTGGTGGTGTTAAGGATAACAAGTTTTGCAGCATAACAAGTTCTCTTGATGGCTTCGTCGAGTCTTCATTTCACTACTTCCTGTACGTCATCTCCTTTGAACGGCAAATTGATATAAACAGGTTTCTTTGGAACTGTTTGAATTGTTTTGCAGGGGGTAGTTTCGTTAGAGTATTTATTAATGAACTTCTCAGGATATCCATTCTTACATAAAATATCCTTCAGAGATTTTATTTCATGTTCAATAGTACTGTAAGGACAAATTTTCCGTGCTCTATTGAACAGTGTTCTGACTAAGTTCCTTTTGTACTGGATTGGAACAAAGCTTTTAAAATGCATGTACTGTCCTGTCCATGAAGACTTTCTAAATATAGATCTTTCGATTGTGCCATCATTCATTTTGGCTAGAAAAACGTCTAGGAATTTAATAGTATTGTTTTCCCCGTGTACGACTGTGAAATTGAGATTTGGATGGCATGAATTGAATTTTATTAGCATGTCTTCCGCTTTTCATCTGCTTTCACAGACAATAAAAATGTCATCAACATATCTTAGGTATACATTTGTTTCTTGTATGTGCTGCTGCAAAGCACCGGTTTCTAGGCGCGACAAGAATAAGTCGGCGAAGTGTGGTCCCAAGGGGCTTCCCATTGCGACACCATCAACTTGATGGAACAGACGCCCGTTGAATCGGACTTGGACATTTTTAGTACATAAAAGTAGTAATTTCCTCAATTCCGATGTTGGGATGGGTATGTCTTCAGCTTCTTTACATATGAAGTCGATAGTCTCAACGACTGGCACATTTGTGAAAAGGGAGGTAACATCGAAAGAGATTAAATGCTTATCGGATACATTGAAATCTTTAATTTGATTGACAAATTGAAATGAATCAGAGACTATATGTGTTCCGAAACGTTTCAGCAAAGGTGGCAACAGTTCACATAGCCACTGTGCTAATCTGTGGTATGGTGAGTTTATCATAGATAGTACGGTTCTTAACGGCGCTCCTGGTTTGTGTACTTTTACGCGTCCGTATAATTTTGGGATTTGTGACCCAATCGGTTTGATGTTTCTATATGTGTTTTCGTCAATGTATTTATTTTTGAAGAGTTGTCGTAGATGCTGCACAATTTTCCTTTCGGTTGATAACGTTTGGTCTTTTGCATGGTTATCCAATTTGAATTTAGATTCATCAGCGAGAATTGGATGCATTTTTTCGAGGTAATCTATCTTGTTCATTAGCACTACACTTTGTCCTTTATCAGGTTGTAAGATAACAAGATTTTTGTCTTTTCGGAGCTTCTTAAAAGATCTCCAGTGTTCTTCAGTGATATG